CTCTTCGCAATCGGAATTAGGAAATGTGATTGCGTCATTGTTTTAGTTTAGTTCAGAAAATGTAAAAATTAGGGTTACTTTAAGATAGGATTATTGATGAATTACTCTATAATTCCTAGTGGGTCATTCTTTTGGTTCTGTTAGAAAATATGAGATCTATGGTTTCTTTAACATCGGATTATCTATTAATTGCTTTATACTTCAGTATGTGCATTTGAAATTTGATGAAACTGATTACTTGGAAACCTGTTATTCTAACCTCTTTTGTGTTTTTCTTTTCTCAAGGGGACAAAGATCGATCAACTTATGTAAAGGTAACAAATTGTAACTTGAAAGTAAGTCATTTGGTTTGGTTCTCTGTAATTAACTTTGATTTAAGATTTAGTTTGACCCTTTTGTTTTATATATCTATAGTTAGAAACCTGTTATTCTAACCTCTTTTGTGTTTTTCTTTTCTCAAGGGGCAAAGCTGGATCAACTTATGTAAAGATAGCAAATTGTAACTTGAAAGTAAGTCGTCATTTGGTTTGGTTCTCTGTAATTAACTTTGATTTACCCTTTTGTTTTATATATCTATAGTTAGACAAGCAAACATGAAGCTGCTCATTGCTATAAGAAAACAAATACAAAGGGTAAGTGCGGAGTGTATAGTTTCTCCTAAAAGTTTGGAAGTTTGACTGCATCAAGCCCGCAACTAATTTTGTTTCTATGCAGAGGCTATATCTTGCTCGGAACAGGCAATGAACATGTTGTGTGATATCGGAAGGCTCAGCATGGCTGCAAGGCATTATAAGGTATTGTTTAATCCATTAATATGCATATCTTTCAAGGAAAAAGGAGTTTATCATTCATTGTAATTGCTTATATATATGTGATTGCCTTTCATTTTGATTGGATCATATACTTCTTTCATTTGTGTTTTTTCATAAGTTTCGTTTAGCAGTGTTTTTGGTACAACTTGTAATGTCAAAGTCATAATTTGCTGCAAATTCAATGCTAAATGGTAAAAAAATGGCTTTTGCATTTAAAATCATGGTTTGACAACCCAAACTAAACATCTAAGAAAATGAAGCTTTTTTTGGTTTGAAAGCTGGCTTTCGAATAAATTGGTTATTATCTTAACATCTACAAACTTTTATTATTTTAAGCATGTCCTTTTTTCTCATTTTAATTCCTTACAATCCCTTTTCACTGCAATACTAAACACTTAATTTTGACCATATGTTTTAAAACTTTTTCCAACACATGGTTTTATATTAAGGGTTTTTCCCCAGCAATAATACTAAACTATTGTTGCCGAACATCCATGGCCATAACTTTGTATGGCAATGGTACATGCAGTTATTCATAGGCATGGGTTCTTCTTTATGTGCAGGAAATTTCTGAATTACATGAGCCTGAGAGAACATCGAGCAGGCCATTGATTTTTATGAAAAGGCAGCTGATTTCTTCCAAAATGAAGATGTATCAACTTCTGCCAACCAGTGCAAGCAGAAAGTTGCACAATTTGCTGCTCAGATAGAACAGTAAGCATGCTCAACTTCTTGTAGACACTGTTTATAGTTTTCTAGTACTGTTGATGATTTGTAATCAATGTTTGGTGTTTTAATATGCTAAACAGTTCCATTAATACAGAATTTGGCAAAAATTTTAACAGCTCTACTTGTGATATTTCTCCAGATACGAGAAAGCCATTGAGATCTATGAAGATATAGCACGGCAGTCACTTTCCAATAACTTGTTGAAGTATGGAGTTAAAGGACATCTTCTTAATGCTGGCATTTGTCAACTTTGCAAAGGTGATGATGTTGCAATCACCAATGCATTAGAACGATATCAGGTTGAACTTTAGCCCCTTTGACATGATAAAACCTTTAACTTCTTAAACTGTTATATTAAACTTATGTAAGAATTTTCTTTCTTCAGGAACTGGATCCAACTTTTTCTGGAACTTGAATATAAACTATTAGCTGTAAGTTATCCTAAGGAAATGCTTATCAGTGGTGGCATGGTTTGCCATTTGTTTTATTTTTACTCTAATTGTACTTGTGCATTCATGATATATCCAGTTACTGCCTTACCTCTGAACAGAAAACTTGTTTAGTATATTATAAGATCCATTTACTTTAAATGGTAGTCATTTTTCTGAACAGAACTTGTACCGTCTGTTTTTTGTGACAGGAAATTGCTTCCGCCATCGATGAAGAAGATGTCACAAAGTTTACAGATGTCGTCAAGGAATTTGATAGCATGACTCCATTGGTATGTCAATCTCCGTTACAAATGCTTCTTGGATGAACTAGCGGACTAAAGGTCAAACTAATTAGACTTTTTGTTCTGATTGAACTGGTTGAACTAGCTCGTTCATCTAAATGTGATTTTAATTATTTTCAAAATGATATTAATAATAAATAAATATTAAATGATTTATAGAAAATATATTTGACTTAATGTTGTTTTCTTTCATATAAATTTTAAGGTTCAATTCTCATCATTTTAAAAAATTTAAAAAATTAAGATATATATTGAACCAGTCTTTTGTTTGGTTTTTTACTAGTAGAAATTTTTTTCTACTGTTTCAGCTTACGTATGGTTTTACAATGTGCTATACCTGTTGGACCATTGGTTCAGCCTTGGTCAATCTGATTCAACAACTCTGTGTTAGAGTGGTATAGAACCAGCTCTAATGTGCTTTCTGTTTCCTTGAAATGCATTACAAGATTCTTGGAAGACGACCCTTTTACTTCGAGTGAAGGAAAAGCTGAAGGCTAAAGAAATAGAAGAAGATAATCTTACCTAAAAGAGGTTAATGTCGTAACAGTTTCTTGTTTTGGGTTCCTTTTATGATGATTGCTTTGTGTGTTATGGAGTCTGCCTAATTATACTCTTTATACCCTAATGCGACAATCGGTTTATAAGTTGTTTTACTTGTTTGACTTTAAATCTGAGAATACTATCATGCTGACGATTGGGTGAATTTGAGGTTTGTAATTGAAAATACTGCCGTGTTTTGCTTTGATGTGTGAAAGGAGGGGAAATATAAATGAAGAAAAAGTTGAAATATAAGCTGGTGTGCCGCAAATGTGAAAGAGCTGGGCAACCCCTTTCGCATGATCCGGCTGCCCTTTGATGTTAGTGAAATGAATTATCGCAGCCTTAGAGAGAATTGTGTAGGAAAATTCGGCCGACTTTTATGCTGACAGACCGTGAAGCTTTATGGGTCAAAACGGGCAATATTTTGCAGGTTTGTGTAGATGGTGATATTTAGGATTAGAGTTTGACTGGATAACCTGTGAACAAAATCATTAGACCTGACAAGTAGAAGAGATGAATGTTTGGTGTGGACCGAGGAGGCAGTGGTGACCCATATGGTTCATAAATCAGAAAAGAAGATACAGCCAGAGCTTGCAGAAGACAGGTTAGGAATATATTGCTTAATTATCAACAAGTCTAAGCTCTTTCAATCAAGTATATGCTACCAAGGGACGAATCGAATTTGTAAGATAAATACGCCGGCAACTTTGAAATGTATCATACAATACAGGAGAAATATAACGTCACAACGTTATCTGGTAATGGGAAAGAAATTCAATGGGCAAAAGATTTAGTTAAAAACATTGTTTATTTTCTTATTTTTAAATTTTAGGTGGATAATTATTTGATATATTAAAGATATACGACGATGAGTTAAAATTGTATCAATTTTAGTTCCAATTCATCGATAATGTTGATATTGTCATGATGTGTGTAAAAGTAAAATAGTATCTACATCTTGACAAAGTTGAAGTCTACTAAAAACACTCTATTTTATTAAAAATTAATTTTAGTCCTATTTTTTTAAAAATGCATTTTAATACGTTTGAAAAAAAATAGATATTTCAGTTCGAAGTGTTAAATTAAAATACTGAATTTAAATATCTTTTAAATTCCTATCATTTTTTTAATTAAATGAACTGATTCTTCTAAAAAGATAATTTAGTTTATAAACATTTCAGAAGATAATATGTTACAATTTTTTTTTCAGTTTTCACAATCCACTATTATTAACAATCTTGCACTTCTTACATTTTACCCATTTTTTTATTCCTATATAAAGCATTCTTTTTGTTCATTTATGTTGATGGAATAAGGTGGTTTCGTTGATCGTTTACCTCTTTTGACTTGAACAAAGAGTCACAGTCGATTAGAGATTAATTCATTGATTGATGTTTTTTTCCCTTTTGAGAGAGAAAGGAAGGAGAGGGTTGATGTAAATGAGAGCTCGGAAGAAAGAAAAAGGAATTCATCTTTCGATCTTTCTTAAGGTATAAATATCTCGACTGTAGGATAGTATCAAGCCTAAGATTATAATCATGCTAATATCCTGACACATTATGCGGATACAACTATTAATCATCAAATTTGGATTGTCAAAAGTTAAGAAGTATAGTCTTCAAAAGACAATATGACATGGGATGATTTCCAAGTGATATGGTGTTTTTGAAGAACTTCCAGAGGTTCCGCTCATAAGGTTTGATCTTTTGAGTAACCTTTATTGGTATAAATTTAGTATTCTATAACAATTTTTAACATATACCAATCAAACATTTCATTTCTTATATATTTCTTTCTTATTTTTCAGTTTTTTCCGATTATTGGATTATAATCGAGGAAATATATTTTCAAGCAAAATTTTCATATTTAAGAAGAGTAAAATATTCACCCTCTTCAAATTTGAGTGTACAATTTCTTAAAATTGTGTTATAGCTTAATTTGACTAGCACTTTTACAAAAATAAGAGTTTCCTCTTTTACCCAAAAAATATCAAGTGAGAAAATGATAATTTACAAATTTAAGTTCAGATGGTTTAGTTTCGTTTTGGTCTCTCTATTATGATTTAATTTAATATTTAATCATTATATTTTAATTTAAGATAATCTAATCCTCGGTTTTCATAATATTATTAAATATAATATCATTAACTATAACTAAAATGCTTTGGCTTTGTCTTAAAGCACTCATTACTTCATCGTGCTGGTATTCTTACATTAGAAATGTTGTTTTAAGAAGAAGAAGAAGAAATAAAATCAATATTTTTATTGTTACAGTAAGTATTAGATTAATTAATAACATTGTAAAAGGAAATTAATTAATTTATTTACAGATTGTTTATTAGATTCAGTCATTTATAAATTTATATGTTGTCAGCTAATTCTACTGTTTTAATTATCGGCAAAGAAAAAGATTATTCCTTTATTAAAGATAATGGGAATGAAGCACGCCATACTAATCTAAACAACGAAAGTAAAAAACCCTAACCATACTAATAATAAGATAAGAGCCTTTATCTTACGCCTGATCTAAGAAACAGTTTTGCATGCATCCCATGCAAAACCTTAAAGCCCTCCATGAAACTGCATGCCAAAGCTTAAAAGAGGAAGAATCCGGCAACAGCGGCTACACCACCGAAGACGCCAGATGCCTCGAGAGTAATGGCAGCGGACGGTGCGGGTGCGCTGGCTTCGGAGCTGGGTGTAGGGATATCGGAGGAGTTAGGGACCTCAACATGTGGTGAAGGAGGGGATTTTGACTTTGAGGCCTTGGGAGTTGGAGCAGAGGTTTCGTCATCATTGCTTTTGGTGGGGGAGCTGCCGGTGCTCTTTTCTGAAGAGCTGGAAGGGCTGGGAGAGGGAGGAGATTTAGAATCGCTGGAGGATGACTTGGGTGGTTCAGAATCGGAGGATTTGGTTGGTGATGGTGGTGAAGCATGGGAGCCGCCACCGCTGGAGGAGGGAGACGGGGAGGAGGCGGAGGAGTGCTTGGAGGAAGGAGGAGGGGCAGGAGGTGACTTTTGAGGTGGTGAGGAGGACCCCCCTTTAGACGGCGATGAACCATGAGGGGACGGCGACGGTGCCGGATTCCTGGCGCCGAACGCCGAGACAATTGCCACGAAAACGAGGGCAACGAAGAGAACATGATCTGCCATTGTTATTTCTTTATCAGTCTCTGAAAACCAATTCTCGTGTGACCAAACTGAGGATTTTATTCAAAAGAAAATGCGTCTAAAATATAAACGTAATGCTTATGAATGATTTCAATGGCGATATGATTTATTTGGGATGAAAGTACCGGTGCTGTATATATATATATAAAAGGGTATGGGGTGGCTTAGAAATGCAACGCTGTGCTTCAGTTTTACACTTGACCGAGTTTCATGGATTCTTTTGCGGAAGAAAACTATAATTGACCGAGTTTGAGCGTTGAAGGATCAAATAGACCACTGTCCGCAGTCCCCTGCTAAATAACGATAATACAGAAAATCCAAAGAATTTAATACACAATATTTGTTACGCCAATTCCAATTTAATTCATTTATTATAACTTCTTAACCGTCAACTGCACGTTTCAGTAAATAAATTAAAGATAATTAATCCTTAATGATTGAAATAAGAATAAAAAAGTTAAATGATTAAATTATAGTTTACCCTTTAGAAAAAAGTAATTCAAAATGGGGTAAGCACCTAAATAGTCCTGCTTATAGAGTATTATCTTTTAAGTTTCCTGATTATTAAAAGTTACAAAATAATCCTTTTAACTATAGACACTATTTTGTTGAGTCCATCAACTATTAAAAGTTACAAAGTGGTTACCCAACTATTCGTATATTTCAAGCTCATCATTTTTGTTAAAAACAATTAATGATTATCTAAGTTGGACGTTAACCTACTGGCTAAGATATAATAAAATTTGATCCTAGAATCGTTCGAGTTGCATAGTCATTTGAAATTTTTGGGATCATATTTTATCATATCCACTTAATAGGTTAACGTCCAATTCAGACGACCGTCAATCTTTTAAGAGAAAATGACAGATTTGAAACGTATGAATAATCGAGTGATCGTTTTATAACTTTTAATAATCGAGGGACTCGACAAAACAATTCTCTATAATTAAAGGACCATTATATAAATTTTAATAATAAAGGACTCAATAAAATAATAATCTATAGTGTATGGATCATTTATGCACACTTTACCTATTTAAAAATAATTTATAGACAATTTCTGAACTTTTACCATTCAATTATTTACTCAAATCTAGTAAATTGGAATCGAAATCTAGATGCTAAATACCTCATTCATCCATGTAAAAAGGAATTAATAGTAATAAATAAATAAATAAAAGCCTGTAAATATCAAACAAACCAAACCAACACACAAACGGAAGCCAACCACACAGGAAACTGTTTCTCGTTTCTTCCTTTCTACGTTTCTCTCTCTGTTTTCTTCTCAGAAATATAATTCCAGAGAGGGGCACCAAGAACCTTCAGAACGACGACGCAGAAAACTATGTCTTACGATTATCTCTTCAAGTACATAATCATCGGTGACACTGGTACCTTAATCCTCTGGTTTAAAATTCCCAATTTTTTTCTAATTTTATTTACAAATACTTTCATTTTTTTTTAATTTTTTTGTTGGATTTGACTTGTGTTGCAGGTGTAGGAAAATCATGTCTGCTTTTGCAGTTTACCGACAAGAGATTCCAACCGGTTCATGATCTAACCATCGGTGTTGAATTCGGTGCTCGGATGGTTACCATTGATGGCAGACCCGTCAAGCTTCAGATTTGGGATACTGTAAAAACCCTAACCTTTTAATTTCCCCCTTATTTTTTTGTTGGGTATTAAAATTTGATTTTTTTAGCTGTGGCGTATGAATAATTGAGGTTTAGGAGCTAAATTAGTGTTCCTAAAGATTCTAGATTCAGTAATGAATTTTGGCTGTTGGGTGTAGAAGAATTTAGGGATAGGAGGATCAAGGACGATAATTATGGGTTAATGTTGGAGTAGAATTCTTTTTATACGAAATTACATTTTCGGCCATATATTTGGTTTTTGTTAAGTAAGCTGAACCGAGTTCAAACAAGGCTTTTGTAACTAGGCATGGGCTCCTTTTGCCGAGTTTGTTATCGTCTAAACACGCTGACTCGTAGTGATGTAATAATTCTCCTGGCCCGGGTTAGTTATCTCAGTTAGAGGTGTTTTTGGTTGTGTGATCTTTTCTTTTATCATTGTTCATTTAATTGATGGATGTGAGTCCCTCTTATGTTTGTTTATATTTTAGGCTGGGCAAGAATCCTTCAGGTCGATCACCCGATCTTACTATAGAGGAGCAGCAGGAGCTCTTCTGGTCTATGATATAACCAGGTAAGAGACAATTTTTTCTATATGCTGTTATATGCGAGTTGTTGGAGATTGGTGAAACCGTTAAAACAAGGCTGTGATGTACGAGCATGCTTAAATATCGGGTGTGGATGAGGTGAAGGTTGCATGAGTCTTAATCTTCTCTTAACCTTTTATTTTAGCAACTTGTTTTGTCCTCTCGGTTAAATGGCTGACTGGTTTATTGTATTTCGGTACATTTAGATTTTGTGCTGAACTGCAAATTTTATTCTTGAGCAGGAGAGAGACATTTAATCATCTAGCAAGTTGGTTGGAGGATGCACGGCAGCATGCAAATCCAAACATGACAATCATGCTCGTTGGGAACAAAAGTGATCTTTCTCACAGGAGGGCTGTTAGCAAAGAAGAGGGTGAACAGTTTGCAAAGGAGAATGGGCTTTTGTTCTTGGAAGCATCTGCTAGAACAGCTCAAAATGTTGAGGAGGTAAGTATTGCCCACCCCAAGTGGTACATCATATTTTTATATCTAGCACTATTGTTTTAGTCAGACTCGAGAATGAGTGTCGGACATTGGTATGTCCGTCATAGGTATGTTTAATTATCGAAGTTCTTCCATATAGTTTAAAATCACCCCCATATGATGATCGAACATGTCGGATGCAAGAATTTTGGTTCATGTACTTTTAAGGAAAATGAATGTCAGAATGGCATAGCATAATGAATGGTTTTAACTAAAATTCCGAATCATCTTCTAGGCCTTCATAAAGACTGCTGCTAAGATCCTTCAGAACATTCAGGATGGAGTCTTCGATGCATCCAATGAGGTAACATAACAATCAAGCTGCTTTGTTTTATTGAAAACAAAATTCATAATATAATAGACTAGAACTGAAGACACGTTCTCTTAAATCTTGATGTTTCTTTCTGTATTCATTCTCTTGAATCTCAATGTATCTTTCTCTATTCGCCATGCTAGATATAAAATATCTCGAGAATAGCTATAAAATTTTGGAGTCATAGAAATGGTTTAGCTTGTTCGACTTTCTGTATGGGAGGGTTGATAGGCTTGTTAAATCCAGTTCAAACCTAGAACCATATTCATTAATGGAGAGACGAGTACAGTTCCATACATGAAAGTGTATTTTGTTTGGAATTTGTGCAGTCATCGGGTATAAAGATCGGCTACGGACGTGCCCAAGGTCCATCTGGTGCAAGAGATGGAGCGGTCGCTCAGAGCAGTGGCTGTTGTGGTTGACATAAAAGGAAACGATCATGTGTTGTAAACCTGTGTTGTATTTTGATCATTGTGTCCAATTTACTTGTTTCTTCACAATCACATTGCTTCCAATATATATCATTGGTAAGGAAAGCGAATGTATAAATTAATCTTTTTCTTTTAGTTCATATAAATCTTCTTATCATTTGTACTGTATAACACGTATGTTTGACGTGTCCCAAGAATGCTAATGGCTATGAAAACTCACTTCATTCAGCTCTCGAGTCTGATCATTGTGGATGGAGGCTTTTTTTAAGTTAAAGTAGAACTTTTGATTATAATTTTTTAAATATTAAAATATTTCAAATGTCTTGGGGCTATGTTGTGCAAGTTAATTTTCTGTTATTAATCATGAGTGAGTTCAACAATTAAAAACATAATTTGAAAGTATTTTCGTATACGATATTTAATCTTAAGCGAACTTATATATCAAAGACATTATTGGTTTAAATTTACGTTTTTATGAATCAAAATATGGTATGCGTTCAAATTTATGTCTATAATAATACTAATATAACTATGATTCATTTCACTTAATTTAGAAATATTTAAATTTAAATGTTATTAATTGCTTTATATCGCGGACCATATACAAATTTCTAATCAATAAAAGTCGCAGTATATTTGCATATGTAGGTTTAAAATATCATTGAAAGTTTCAATATCAATCAAGTGATCTCGTGGTTAATAGATTTATTGTTTTCTCTTGAGATTTCAAATTTGAACACCACGTATATAAGGTATGGGCGTTCATTGTCAAATGATTGAGGATCTTTGAATATATAGTAAATTGTACTCATTTTAGATTTATCAACAAAAAAAAGATTTTAATATCAACAAACTTACTGCAACTAAAATAATTTAATCAGTATAAATTCATTTTATATTATATTCAGAAAAATATAATTTATATGGAATTTTATCAAATTTATGATGTAGACGAAAGAAAATATTTTTTTAAAAAACTTATTCAACATTTAACATAGGTAGAGTGATAAAAAAAATTATATATAATTTTAGTGATCACGGTTGATTTCTTAAACGAGGGATTCTTAATTGTTTTATAAAGGGAAAATAAAAATATCATCAAATAATGTTTAATTAATTTTATATAAAAAACATTTTAATAATTTTTAATTGAACTGACACTATTAATCATCATATACTCATCATGAGTTTCATAATAATAGGAATAAATAAAAATAACTATTTGAAAGGAATCAAATACTACATATTAACCACAGATAATCCACGAGTTAGTTGGTAGACCATCCTTAAAACAAAGGCATAATAACAAAATCTGCCTTTTAACCAACTAAAATACTACATATTAACCACAGATAATAAAATATTATATTAAAAACAGATCTCCAAACATACCCATTATTAGTTTTATTCAATAAAAATAGAAATATCAACTGAATTAGTCAATAAAAAAAGCTTCAGTTGTGCAGACAAAAACCATCGCTCATTACTTTCAACAATGGACCATTGCTCAACTTAAAAAGCATTGTCTCCTTTGACCATGGTCCCAAATCTATTACCGTTGCCCAGGTCCGATACCAAATCTAGATCGCAAGTTGTTTAATGTTCGAGTAACAATTTGCAATCTCGGATCATCTTCGGGTATATCTCGTTCCTACAACAATCGACAAAATAAATATTAAATTTACATTGTTGAGCAGTTTAACGAAACTACTATATGAATCACTTACACTGCAGCAAGAGAGGGAACTGCATTACGAGCCTGCATTAGGTCCCATATATAGTTTGCGTTTGTGTATCCACCCGTCTGTGTCGGAAAACATATCAAGTTATGCATATTGAACGGTGACAGTCCCGAAAATGTCTAGCAACTTAAGTATTTGCATACCTTCTCACCCGCGGCTGCAAGGAGGAGATCACTTCCGAATTTAGCGTTCAAGAAAAAGTTTCTTTTAGTCATATTGACCTGCACATTTGAACCAAAGAAAATCATAGGATTTAACATGACCGAATAAAAATCAGGATATCAGAAAGTTAACGAGTCAACCGAGATGCATCATACATACCAATGCTTCTTGAGCAAGTTCCATTCCTCTAGGAGTATACCCAACCATTGCTCCCTCGATGAAGGTCTGCAAACAAGGAAATTGCAGTAAGTTAATAATTATCTGACTTCACCTAGATTGAACTGCATACCATTAATCATATAAAAACATGCAGACAGGCATCTTCTATGTTGTTCCAACTGTTTATTTTTCATCAAATATTCACCCTCTAAATACAATAAAAAGCTTATAAAACTTTGAAGATACCTGTTCCGGTCTTATACTCGTATTGAAAACTCACATACAAGTCCAAGTAACATAAGATAAGGCCACTTGTGACGTGACAATAGAACATAGTAATAACGAGTAAGCTAGCTGTACAAAGTGAAAATAAATAGACAGGTGGTTCTATATTATCTCTATACTATACAAATAAATGATATGTTCAACATTAGTTAATTGTCGAGTTTTTCATGGTAGAAAAAGAAAGAAAGAAATGGACATCCATTCGGACTCAGACAGCACAGAGAAAACTAAAAGATCAACAAAAAAAATATCTTAGCAAGTAATGATTAAACTTACTGCATAAAGTTCCATAGCGGGAGGTTTTCCTTCATTAAGGTAGCCCTCGAAAATTTGAACAGCTCAGTCGATGTTTCCAGCATTCAGATAGCATCTAATAAGGAGGCAAAAACAGAAACACATAAAAAAGGGGAAAATTATCAAAAACCCAAGAGCCTATTTCCAGTAAAATTATCAAATCAAAGACAAATGCATACCTCAAAATTTGCATGGTAATAAAGATGTCTGGATTTTTACCATCGTTTTTTAGCATCTCGAGTAAAGTCTCGGGTAGCCTACCATGACCATGGATTAATATATGAATAAATATTAACAGAAAAACAGTTATGTGGTACACAAAACATGCTTTGGAAAAGCAAAACTGGTGAAATCAGAGTGCTTAGTGATTTATGAAAAGATTGAAAAAGGAACTGAAAACTAGTTGATGGGGGGAACTACAGATACAAGCCAAGTAAGATAATTTGAAAACTGTTCACTAGGTCAATTAAAAACTTGATGCCTCAATATATACCTCAAAGATCACGATGCAGCTAGATTTTACAGCAGAAACCAAGTAAACGGAATTTGCAAGAATAACATCATCTTGTAATGCACAAATACATTCATACCAACACTATGAATGGCAAGAACAATAACACAATACTTCATATTCCTTGGAGCATTTGTACATGTACTTCGAGAATCAAGAGGGGTAGAGGATGGTCCAAGGCAGACTTTCTGAAGATGTGAAACATTACCTCTACATTCTTAAGATCTGCACAAGCGTGAAATGCAACATGGAACACAGTAAGCGGCCTGAATATGAAAAAACGCCTGTGAACAAAGTCTGCAGTAGGTAAGTTGTACAACTCTTCCTCAGAAATGCCAAGCATCGAATTTCCTGTATTTCCACTTTCTTCGACAGATGACCATCCTTTCGACCGCTCAGCTAACTCAATAATCTAGAGAGGCGAGAGAAATATTGGAAAACTACAAAAATAAATAAATAATGAAGGAAACACTATTCAGAATATAGAATTTTAAAAAAATCAGCTTGGCTGCTACATCTTGTGATCGAGGTATCATGTTCATATGTGCAATTATAAGTCCAGCATAGCAGAACTTGTTCAATTCACCACCAGAAGCAGCAGTCATATCACGCACTATTGCTAGCCTAAAGCATTTACATGCAGATTAGCTAAATTATTATCAAAATCGAATAAACTTCCTCAGTCAGTCAACAAGAACATATAGTTGTTTTGTAAATTGAAAATGCATTCTAACCATAGTGCAGCATAACCCAAGAAAAAATCATTCCATGGACCACAGAATCCAAGAAGAGTCATTGAACTTAAAAACAGAAAGTTACAACAAAAGCATTGTAGCATACACTTGATCCAATCGTCCAGCTGCCGCACATGCATTAATAAGACAAACATAGGTTTGTCCATTTGGCTTCACATCGTATCTCTTCATTTCTTCCAAAATCCTACATGAAAGATAAAATACAAATACCAATTTTGAGCTACTAAAAGAATATCAAAGTTAAACAGAAAATATCTTGACAAACACATGAGAGAGATACCTGAACAGCAAGAATAGAATTCTTGCATTTCCCACAGGTTGAGATCAAAATGTTGTACAAAGAGGCCTATGACAAAATAAAATTCAGTTATTTTAAATAATTAACAAATAATTTGGTGAATAATGAAATACCCAAATTTGATACTAAAACTAGAACCAACCTTAGGGGATTCTTGTTCAAACTACTCTAATCCGATTGTATCTAAGTTCCCTTGGTCTCCTCCTCCTAAGGGCTTTATCAAATTAAATGTTGATGCTGCTACTACCAGTGACTGGAAGAGAAGTGGGATAGGTGGTGTTTTAAAAGACGTTTCTGGTTCGATCTTAGGCTCTTTCAAGGAGTCTGCTGGTCCGGGACCTCCTACCTTGATGGAATTAAAAGCTATTCAAAAGGGTTTATCGTTCTTTATCTCTTTTCGAAGCTGATCAAGGATCGTTTGATTATTGAGAGTGACAGTAGGGTGGCAGTGGACTGGATTAAGAAAGTTGAATTATGTCCAGATGTTTATGGTTCTATTGTTAAAGATATTGTTGATAGGCTTAAAGTTTTTGAAGGTGTTATTAGATGGGTTAATAGGACAGCTAGCCTAGAGGCAGATGCCCTAGCTAAGGCTGGAATAGGTTGATTTATGTGTTGTTGTTTAGGGATGTTTTTTTGGTTTTCTACTTCCTATTAAGGGAGTTTTAGGGTGTTGTAATTCCTATGTACTTTTTATGATTTTAATGAAATTCTAAGGCACTCTTTTCCTCCTTCAGCTGATTAAGGAGCATTTACGAGCTACATTAATCATAAGGGTTTTTTTTTAATGAGGCCTCCTATTCTTATAAAAAAAAAAACCAATTTGCACCAACTCTTCATTTTTCCTAAAATGGCCATATAACAATTCTCCAACTACACAACTTTTGAAAAGAAAAAAAAAAGAATATACCTATGTCAAACATACACTCGTATCTGACAGTCACTCCTAAGCCCAACATAGCCAATAACTGCAAAAAACTAGATAGGAACATAATGAACATAAAATACCTCAGGGACTAATCCCATGGCCTTCATTTCATATCTGAAAAAGAGAGCGTCTTGCATGCGTGACCCTCTCATGGTTCCCATAATCAAAGCCTCGAAAGTATCTCTAGTTGGCTGCACCCCATCCAGCACCATATCATCATAAACATCCCTCAACAGATAATGCCTGCATCACCATACCAAATTCACAAACAAGTAAGGGTATGGTTTGTTTTTCCAATCATTTGCTTCCGTCCTCCGTGAAAATTCATATAAAGGAAAACCATTGTCATAACAGCTTTTCACAGCTAGACGGTGTTAAAAATGAATTTAACGTCAAGATCTTCCAAGGAACCTGATTTTGAACAAAGCTTAATCAACGGATAGCAATCAAATAACTTAACCCGGACCAAATTCGACGTCTACAACCAAATATCAAGACAAGTACAAGTTAAAAGACAGGACCCCTTCGTCTGGTATTGAGAGAAGTAAGGACAGTGTTGTACTCGGAGACATTGTCAGCGTAGTTCCGTTTGGCTTTCTCTGCAGTTAAATCCGAAAAATGGCGGCGACCCAGTGCTCGAAGCAGTGTCCTGTTGGGACCTGTTTTCAACAACAACAAATACACGAAACAAAACCAGATAAGCAATCGATACGATCAACCTCTCGAGTGGAAGAGTTGAGCATCTGTAGAGTACTGAAACTTTTACCGGAAATGGTTCGGAGGAGGAACTTCATTGGTTAAAACAGAGTGAAGAACTGTAAAGGGTTCTTTGGTATGCTTTGCTCCAAAAGCCCTACTTTTTCTAATACCCAATTTTTTTCTATTTTTGTTATAGTTGACACAAAACGGTGCGTTTGGATAATGAAGTGTTGGGCCAAGCTCAAGTGGATGGATAATTGTCTAGGTTAAATATATATATATATATATATATATATATATATATATATATATATTTGCACTTCTCGTTAATTATTTGTTTAAATATCTATTAAAATTATATAGAGTCAATTCTGTTAACAGTATACTAAATTAATCATGATGGGATGGATTATATTAAACTTAAATGAGACAAAACTGGGATCAATATTGTTTTAAAAATTAGTTTTGTATATATTCTTAAATTATTCGATGACAAAAAATCAATAAAATATTGTTTAAATATCTATTAAAATTATTTATAGAGTCAATTCTGTTAACAGTATACTAAATTATTCATGATGGGATGGATTATATTAAACTTAAATGAGACAAAACTGGGATCAATATTGTTTTAAAAATTAGTTTTGTATATATTCTTAAATTATTCGATGACAAAAAATCAATAAAAAAATTTTCTACTTCAAATATATATATATAAACTTATTATAAATAACTTTATTATTAAATATAAATTGAAAGTAAAGGTGATAACATATTTGGATATTATTTGCAATAATATAACGGATTTGAGCAAATTTAAATATTACTTGAACTGGTTTGACTTTGAATCCGGTTTACTATCATAAGTGGTTGGTGGTCTCTTCCAAATGCAAATGCTAATAATATTTTTCAGCAACTGCTGTAAAATTGTTCTGTCATCAAAACACCACTGTTCTAAACTTCACAAAGCTCTTGACCATCGTGAGGAAGAGATGAACCTAGAAAGCAAGGAGACGGCTACACGAAACGAGTACGACACCATACAGATACGACGAGAACCGGCTATAAAAAAAAATACGACTCGTAACCAAGACTTGGCCAGTTCCCTGTAAGAAATGTAAGTGCTTTTGTAGTTTATAGAGAATAACATAACCCTGGAGTTTGTTCATGTAATCACCCTCAAAATGTGACATCTAAGATTCAATGGAACTGTTACTTAGAATTGCTAACAAAAACAGATAGAAAAGTGGAGGAATTACAAACAAATTACTTGTTTTTGGAAGTCATAAGGGCAACTTTGCTTGTGTTTTTTTTGCTCTTCTTCTTCCTCGATGCAAAGCTGCTCGGTCCAATATCTATGGACATTCTCTTCGCTCTACAACAAGAGAGAACTAAATAATCCTAAAATAATACCGATTCGCAATGCATTGGTGTGAAGCAGGAAAAAACCAATTGTTCTACAGAGATTTTGGACGTATAGGAGGATTATAAACAAGATAAAACAAAGAATTATACCGTGTAAAAAGCTCTTCGGACTCCTTTCCGCATTCTTTCGCTACATCCTCTGATGGAAGAAATGCATCTAAATTAAGGGATCAGATAGTTTAACATAATATTCAAAATTTGCTCATGGCAGCTGAAAGAAACCAGATTTTTTAATCCCAACAAATGCAACGAAAACAAACTATGCTTGTAAAATATTCATTTCAATTGTTCTAAACTCAAATTATCCGAAAAAATCTAACAATTTATTGAGAAAAATGAATCAAACAACCGAGCACACACACATAGCATTGATTCCCAGCACTGAATTCAGTTATATAAATGCAAGATTCCCGGACTAATGATCTGAGTATGATAGTTTAAAATTACAAGATATTTTTAAATGATATGGGCAAAATAGTTCTCTAATATGATAGCATAAGCATAAAACCGGTTTTTGATATCAATAAACTTGGCTGAAGCTGAAAATTATTTATAATGAAATAGAAATTATTGAGCGCAGAAGTTCTAAAAAAAATCGTATCTGCACACAAGAGGCCAATTGCACCTGGTTCGTCTTCATCATTGCATTCATCCGACTCTGAACCAGAACCCCATCGATCCCCTCCATCATCGAAGTCCCAACGGTCGCCTACGGGAGGAATCCAGAATTCATGTTCCTCGGAATCACTTTCATTTTCAGCTGAATCCCTAACTTCAGAAATAATTTCTTCAACTGGCTTTTCCTTCTTCGTCTTCTTCCTTTTTTCTTTCTTAGGCTTCTTCTCACCTTCCTCAGCCATGGTTTCATCAGTTAGCACCGTCTCCATTTCCTTTTGTTCTGTTCACATACTAATAATTAACACACAAAAAAGCCACTTCATCTAATTAGCCAGAGAGCAAGATTCGAACCTAATTTATTGAGAAATCGTTTCCCATTGATATGCTTCCAAATATGTTCCTCGGACTTATTAACGGTATGACCAGTTAGTTTACAAATCAACTTCGAACTGATACACAATCAAATAGAAACATAGAATTAATCATATTAGCAGAAAACACATGAATGATGAAACTAATCAAACGTAAAAGATTCACCCAGAGGTGTAAACAAAACACACATGCTCAAACCTACTCAGGCTTTCATGAAAGGAATTTGAATTTGACCGAGCCATTGTTAAGTTGAGGAGGTCGACCTCAAACAGCTCAATAACCAAATTTAAATATCTTAAAGCTTAACTCGATGGGCCTAGTTGAGCTCTTTACTTTTAGTTAGTATCGAAAAATTTAAATATCTTAAAGCTTAACTCGATGGGCCTAGTTGAGCTCTTTACTTTTAGTTAGTATCGAAAATTTCAATTCAAACTATAACTCGAGCTTGAGCCTTGAGCATAGATAATAAAGTTTAAAGTCGAACATAAGAATTGAGCTCATTTTTATACTTTCGATCAACCAAGTTATTCTCTCGAATCAGGTTTGAGTTTTGAAAATGAAACTCAATTGAGCTCAACCCGAGCTTCGAATTTCAAGTGGAGCCCAAGCTCGAGCTTCTCGCAGCTCTATACCTCTAGATTCACCCTAATAACATTCACTATCATGAAAATTTGGAATGTCAAGACAGAAACTTGGCATCGGTAATCGACCACATGCTTAAAAATACATAGATTTCTAGAGGTTAAATTTTAACTCTACGAAAGCCCTCGTTTTTTTTCTGGGAAATTTTCCAATTTCTAACCCCAAAACATATTATTCGCCTTATTAGATTCTGGGATTTCACAAAAAATAGCTCATTTTAAGTGAAAATCTCAATATTTGATAACCCTTTTCTTCATTTAACATAGACAAGTAGAACAAATGATTAACAAAAAAGAATCGGTTTGGATTTCTTTTGGTCCTTTTACCGGGAAAGAGGGTCTTGTTTGAACATGTTGAGAGGGGCTTAGAGTGAGATACAGCAAAGTCGATGAGGTTCAAACGACAGCGTTTGCTCTGAGCATAGGAATCCTTGTCTTTCACAACCATCTCGTGCCCTGTTTCAACGCACTTGAGCCTTTCGTTTGGGAGTTCCGAGAAGGTCGGAGCTCCCAACAAATTAGTCCCTTCTTTGCTCCCTCCGCCGCCGCTTCCTTCCGTTTCTTCAGTTGCCTCCCCCATTGCTGTTGCTCTTGCTATGGCTGCTGGCTTGTGTTGTTTTATTCTCAGTTCTTTGCGTGGTTGTCCCCTTATGCATGAAACGACACTTTTCTAGGTCTGTTTTAATTCAGTAGAACGATAGCGTTTCATATAAAATACCAAATATGGTAAACTACGAAAATAATCCCCTAACTATACAAGACTCCTAATTATAAAAAATAGGTTTATAAAAAGTAATTTAAAAAATTAACATGAAATGATGTGACAACTAATAAAATTAATAAAATATTATATTTAACACAATGTTTACATATTATCATAATGTTTTAATCAAAAAAACATATTATTATAATTTAAAACTTATTGTAAAAATTTAACCCTCAATTTTTAAATATTACATCAATTTTAGTTCTACTAGAATTTAGTTTATATTTTTTCTCCTTTTAACCTAATTCTAGAAGAGTATAAAGATCATCTTTATTGTTTTATTCCTAATCTTTTAGGGTTTTATACCTATAGATTTTTTATTATTAACAATTCAACGGTTGAATTTATCAATATCATTATATTTATTATGCATATAAAATTTCTTAATCGGTCTGATATTTTCTACCATATTAATCTAAACTAATGTCTTAACGGTTAAAAGTTTTACATGAAATAAATAGTTAAGTAATTTCAATGTTCTCAAATTTGGCATATGAATAGTAAAATAATTGAATATACTCATAAAACTCTTCCGAATCCGAACAACATAGATTGTACATACACCTAGCATTTGAGATTCAACATCTGTAGAATTCTGTTCCAACTTCCATATTAGCATTTCTTACACAGCTGAATGCACTGGCATTGACCCATACTGGAAGCTACTCTAACGTACCCAGTTTTTCTTCATCAACCTCAAATGCCTTCCTTGCTTGCTTCAGCTCCTCTTGCATCGATAGCAACTCCGTACAACGATTTTCGGTTTAACACATATTAGCCTTATTTATAGGATAAACTTTTGAACAATTCATTAGCCTTATGTCCGATTCTTCATTTTTTTTTTCTTCAAGTGTCTATGTCTAACACATATTCGGACATAAATAGAGAGACTGACCCTACGACGACCATCCATATACACGGGAAAGCTTAGAAAAGTTTAACGTATACATGCCAGACAGAACCCATATCAAACACTCACATCCAAGTATGAATAACATAGGTTGCAAATACGCACTCGACTCAAAGCTTTCAGCTTTCTCAAAATAATCGCTACCCCGATATAATATAAGTAACTACAGAATGGAAAGTTAAAAAATCCATGGCAAAACAAGCGGGAAAGAATTCGACAGCTACTAACTCCAAATGAAATCGTACACATTGAAAAATACAAAGCTTCGGTTTGACAACGAAATCCAGATATGCAAGAAAATGGAATTGTATGGTTCAGAAGCTGGCTTTTGAGTGATATAACTTTATCACACTCGCATCTCTAACCTTTTATCACCTTCAACGTATGTTTTTTGATAATTTAATTCTCTACAGCAGTTTTTCATAGCAATGTAAAATGCTTGAAAGTAATTTAAGACATATTTGTTCATCATACATATTTAACGCCTAAGCTTTTTTCAAATAGCTTTGCTACAATAGAAACAATCCCAAACGATCAATAAGGACTGAAACACGGTTTCGCAGCTTCGACTTTGGTTTCTCACTCTCCGCAACTAATATTCACTGCTCAGCTTCCTACTAAATTTAACATGTAAGAAAGTTATACATACACGAACACAATTCCAATAAAACAAAGATCACATGGCATACAAAAGGGTTAATTTCTTTTCTTGTTTTGATTCACATCTCCATCTTGATCCATAAAAAGGGTGGTCGAAAAAAGAAACAAATTTTAAGTAATGAAAAGGGTTCAATGTTGAATTTCTAAATGATACTTACATTGGGATCGTCTCCAAAACCATACATCATATGTTGCACTGAAACAAGAAACAAAATTTTAAAAAAAATGAAAATAACAAGAAAACAAAAGAAATTTCGCAGAGAAAATTATATAAAGGAAGAACAAATTTGGGTTTACAATCTTTTTTGGAAAACTCCTCTTTTGCGCTTGAATGAAGTTTCTGAAGGCTGTGAAGACCCAACTTTTGATTTTGAAGAGGCTCCTGTTGATGGGTTACTCTTCTTTCTACCCCTGAAAAAAAGTTTTCTACTTTCCTACAGAATCGCGGAAAACAAACAAGTCCACCAGGAAAAGAAAGAATCTTTATTAGAAAACAAATAATGGGAAAGGAATTCAATTCCAATAGGAAAAAAGAAACCCCGAAAATTATCGTCATTGAATTGAAGATTGCAGTTTGATGGGCCAACACTGTGTTTAGTTGGGTTGACCGACGAGACTACGATGTGATCGAGTGTTCAGCCCTGACACTTTGGGCAACAAGCGAATTGATTAAGCAAATCACTGGTTTCAATCAAGGATTCTTGCCTGTGAGATACTTAAGAGTCCTTTTAGCATCTAAAAAACTCTCTGAAAAAGACTGTGAACTGCTCATTGGGAACATTAAATCAAGAATACATTTCTGGTCTGGTAAGCATCTCAGCTATGCTAGCCGCCTTGAGTTCATCCGGGCTGTTTTGTATAGCATTGCGAATTATTGGTGTGAACTCTGTTCTAAATTTTTCTAGAAAGGAACTAACAAGGTTGTTGTTGGTGCGTGTATTAGTTGGATGAAAATCTACCAACCTAAATCGGAGAGTGGACTTGGACTGAAAAATATCAAAATGTAGAATAAGGCTTGCATGAATCTAATTAGAAAAATTCTGGCTGGTGATGGATCCATTTGTGTTGTTTGGATCAAAGCCTATGTCATTAAAGATTACGATCCATGGCTTATGGCTGGGGTACTAACCTTAGTTGATGTTTAAACAGACTACTCAAACTTAGGAATGAAATTTTTTCAATTTTATCAAAAGGAGTAACCAAAACAAGAGATATATGAGAAGAACTTAGAGTGAAAGGCAACAAAGTTCAATGCCACAAACTGATATGATTTCCTATACACATCCCTAAACACAGTATGATCACTTGGATGACTTTATTAGATAGGCTTCACACTCGTGCTCGTCTTCAAAGAATGGGAATCCATATTGATTGGAGTTATGTGATATGCAATGCAGCAAATGAAAAACGTGATCATTTATTTTTTTATTGTTGTTTGGCTAATTATCTTTGGGAGAATATTATGACTATCAGGATTGCAGAAAACATTCCTGTCATGGGAGGATATGGTTGCTTAAGCTTGTGAAAAATGGAAAGACAAATCTCTTCTTACTACCATCTTAAAGATTGATTTGTGTGCCTATATTTAAATTTTGTGGGAAGAACGAACCGTAGAATATTTAAAAGTTGCTCAAGAACTGTTGACGATATCCTCAAAACTATCAAAGACATTGTTGGAATTCAACTTCGAGAAAGTAACATTAACCGTTTAGATAGTGTCAATATTAATCTATGTAATGCTTGGGTATAACTTAACCGATCATTCTTTTTGTAAGTAGATTGTAAATGTTTTGTGTTGTAAATGTTTTGTAACTGACTCTACTTTGGGTAATAAATTTATTTATAAAAAAAGGTTAATTTCTTTCTTGTTTTGATTCACATCTCCATCTTGATCCATAAAAAGGGTGGTCGAAGAAAGAAACAAATTTTATGTAATGAAAAGGGTTAGATGTTGAATTTCTAAATGATACTTACATTGGGATCGTCTCCAAAACCATACATCATACGTTGCACTGAAACAAGAAACAAAATTTTAAAAAAAATGAAAATAACAAGAAAACAAAAGAAATTTCGCAGAGAAAATTATATAAAGGAAGAACAAATTTGGGTTTACAATCTTTTTTGGAAAACTCCTCTTTTGCGCTTGAATGAAGTTTCTGAAGGCTGTGAAGACCCAACTTTTGATTTTGAAAAGGCTCCTGTTGATGGGTTACTCTTCTTCCTACCCCTGAAAAAAAGTTTTCTACTTTCCTACAGAATCGCGGAAAACAAACAAGTCCACCAGGAAAAGAAAGAATCTTTATTAGAAAACAAATAATGGGAAAGGAATTCAATTCCAATAGGAAAAAAGAAACCCCGAGATTTATCGTCATTGAATTGAAGATTGCAGTTTGACGGGCCAACACTGTGTTTAGTTGGGTTGACCGAAAAGACTACTATGTGATCGAGTGTTCAGCCCTGACACTTTGGGCCACCAGATCGAAAGACGCAACTTTGGGCCAACAAGCGAGAGACATATTTTAAACTTTATTTACTAAAGTACGCAATGCTTTATCAACAAGTCCGCTGTAGCGCTACGGTTAAATTTCCATTGTTGAAATTCCGGGTTCGAACCCCGGCAGCGGAATTAGAATAAAATTTTTATAGGGCGCTTCTTTTTAAAATTTTTAGTAAAGGGTAAATATAACTTTTGGTCCCTAACTTAGGAATTTATGTACAATGTGGCATAATCTTTTTCTTGGTATAATTTGATATATTTTCTTAAATGATGCAATCAGGTGTCCGATTTTTTTTATTTAGTGCAATTAGTACCTTAATTATTTTTAATTGTACTTGTTTAATTTTAATTGATTTGTAGTTAAAATTTTAACACATTTTAATTAGAGTATAATATGTGTTACAGATTGAAGAATTAAGCATTAAAATTATAATTATAAGCGTAATTTTAATTGCATATGTAATTTTAAAAATGTTAAGTGTCTAATTGTACTAAAAGTAAAAAGTTGTATAACTAATAGCAATTAGTAAGTTAATTTTTCAATTATATATGTTTAATTTTGAATGGTTCATACAAATAATTTTAACACAATTTAGTTAAAATATAATATGTGTTATTGATTTAAGAATTAAACATTGAAATTATAATTTTAAAAATGTTAAGTGTCTAATTGCACTGAAAGTAAAAGTTCGGTATCTAATTGCATACAATAAAAAAACTAAGCAGTTGATTAGTCCTTAAAGAGTCAAAAGTTAAATACCTAATTGCAAAAAAAATGAAAGTTACAGGTCAGATATTTATGATGTTAAAAAGTACGTATACACAAATTAAATATGTACTGTAATATTCGACTGCATATCGAGTAATCGATCTGCTTACAAACAAGAAATTTATAGAATTTAGGTTGTGCAGTAACGGATTGCGGAATTCTGATATCCCAGTTGTGTTATAACGGTTCCGGACAACACCTTTAGTGCTATATAACAACCAATATTCTACAAGATTTTAGTTTATATCGTTTGAGAATGGGTGAAAATAAATTTTTTAAAAGTTCTTATTCTAAAATTGGAATTTAACAATTTTTAACGTGACATATCAATAATATAGCAGATGTTAACGTTTGAGTGATCAAAATGTTATAACCTGAAAATATAAGTGAGCAACTCTAACTTTTTAAAATCAATGACCAAAATCAAACAAATCAAAAATAAAATAGACCATCCATGTGATTTGCCGAATAAAAAAGTGAAAACTTGATAATTATAAGGTAATAACTTTTTAAAATATTTCTTAATCATTAACAACTCACATGTATTTAATTGCTCGAACTCAATATCTCTAAAAAGAATAAAAAAATACTATTAAAATTGATTGATGAGTTCAAAAAATAAAAGCTCTTAAACATCTAATATTTATAAATTTATCATTTGACTAGTTGCGAAATGTACATTACAAGTTTAATAATATTATTGAATGTTGTGTATTATTTATAAAATTTACATATTTAACCACTCGCGTTGCGAATAAAATACAAAATTTTAAAATATTTTAAATATTAAAAGTACCTATTTTATGACTACTTAATCTTCATAAACCATCATGAATCAAATACCTCAATGATTAAATAAACGATAGTTATTCTTATAGGTCTTAAAGTCGAGCATAAACGATGATAGAGTATTTGAGCATTTATTATTAAATTGTTGAGAATTTTTGAAACAATACTACTACTTATAAGCAACCTAAATTAATTAAAAAAATCTTCACAAATCAAAATGTCATAACTTTATGTCTAATTGAGATAATTTTTTTAATTCATTAACCTTTTTTTATTAATCTTGAGTAAGTACAAGGTAATAAAGAAACCTCAAAGGAACATGAAGTGAATGGAGGACTTCCCTTTTATGCTAAGTAGATAATTCTGTATTTGTTTTCCATTTTAAAGAGAGGCATGTGATTTGGGTTCCATTGCATGTGATTATAGGTTGCTTGGCTGCTGGTTGCGTAGCCTATCGAAAACTCAATGACTTGTACGTTCGGCTTTATTTGTAAATAGATGTGGATGTGTGTTTCTGATTATGTAAATAGCTATTATTGGTTGTGTCATGTGATTTCAGGTTTGTTTATCCTTGTAACCTCCGTCCAAGACTCCTCACCCACTGGACTATGTAACCTGGTTGTTACGTATTTACATATATATTTTTTTACCTTGGAGTGCGGAAAGGTATAACTATATGTCTATTCATCAAATGATTTGTTGCTAATCAAATCACATAATTTGATTCCCATCCACTTTTAGTCTATTTGATAATTCACATTAGGATGAACAAAATTCGATTTAATTCTAAAAATTAATTTTCTTCTTCTTAATTTTGATTTATTTGAGTTGAATTATTAGAGTCAATTCCAATTATTGATTCGCTTTCGAGTTTGAGTCGAGTTGAAATTTGGAAATTTCGAGTTTTAGTCTATTTAGTTTTATGATTTAGACCATGATTCATTATTCATTTGATTTCTCATTATTTTAAGTTTATTTTTTTACCAATTTAAACCACGCGCTCATAAATCATCATAAAATACATATGTACTTTCCATTCCTTTTTTATATCAATTTTTTATTTTTCAATTTAGTCCCTCAATTGTTCATAATTTTCTTTATTTCTTCAATTCATCAATTATTTTAAGTCCATTTTTTTACAAAATTTGAACCACATGCTCATATAACACTATAGAATACCTATGTAACTTAAATTCTTATTTAAAAAAACATATGTACTCTCTTTTTTATTTAGTCCCTCAACTTTGTATTTTATTCAATTTGAACTTTTGACAACAATCGTTTACAAATTCTTTCTTCACATCAATTATTTGACTCCTTTATACTCTAATCAATATTTTTACCCTCAAAATACTTTCTTTAAAATATAATATTGTGACTATATTTTATAATTTTAGATTGTATTTGATATATTAAATAATATTAAAATGTGAAAAGAATATATATATATATATCTTATATGATCAAAGAAAGTCGAAAAATTGAAATCAGTCCTTACCATAATACTATAAATCATTATACTAAAATTAGTAAAAAAAAAAACTCGAATAACTAATTTGAAAAACTTGACTCGAATTTCTTAAACTTTACTCGACTCGAAAAAATTTCAAGTTAAGTTAAGTTGTAAAATACGACTCGTCAACTCGAATAACTCAAATTTTGTACTCGACTCGATCGAATCCTCACCCCTAATTGACATATTTATTGTTATAATATTTAATAGAAAAATATTTGAAATTAATATATGATTAAATTTAAATATTTAATATGTATTTAAATTAGAATTTAAATAAAAAAATATTTGAAATTAATTAAACAAGTAAAGGATTTTTATGATCTTATAATTAGAAAAGTTAAGTATAAGGGTATTCCTTTTACTAAAGTGTATTTTTGACTTTCCAACTATACGAGGAAGTTACTTTTTCACTCTTATTCAAAGGAATCACCTTCACGTGAGTGATTCCTTAACTAATATTTATAAAAAGAAAAAGATCATAATCAACACTTTCATAAAATATTTTATGAAAGCAGGACAAAACTAAATTTAATATCTTAACATTTTTTATTTTCTTCCCTTAACCTTTTCTCGTAATTAAATTGGGGCAGATAAAATTTTATATTTTTAAAAGAAATTAAGAAAAGTTGAATTTCCAAGCTTTACCTAAGTTTAATAAAAAAATTAATTTAATTTTTATTTTTTTAAATCATACCTAATATTTAGTTTTTGTTTCATTTTAGCACACATAGTTAAAAATTTAACACGTTTAGTACCTAAACTATCAATTTTTATCCTTTTTAGTACATAAACTTTTCAATATGTTTCAAAACTTAACGTTAAATTTTGAACAGAAGTACTAAAATGAAACAAAAACTAAATTTTAAGCATGATTTTGAAAAAAAAATTAAAGATAAAAACTGATAATTTGTGTACTAAACAAGTAATTTACCTAATTTTTAAATATGATTATAATATTAGAATATATATGACAATACTTCACCAATCGTCATGGTGTCCAGTACCATGTAATATCGGTATACAGAATGAATAAAATTCTTTATTGAGGAAATAATAATGACAATACTTCACGTATTGTCAGGTTTTAAGCGATAACATAATATATGCAGCTGTTTGTTTGCATGCAACACGTGATTTTCAAAATAGAAACATCTCATTCATTTACTTTTATTATATAGTCATTGTTGGAGACTTAACAGGATACTACTACGATATATATATATATATATATATATTATGCAAACTAATACTTTGGATGTTCATAACT